CACTCACGCACTCACGCACTCACTCACTCACTCACTCACTCACTCACTCACTCACTCACTCACTCATTCAGAGATGCACATTCTAGCACTCGATCAGCTTGGGAATCTTTCTTGCTGTAGTAGGGTCTCTATATGTTGATCGCAGATGTTCTTGCTGACAGTGCCACGATTAGCACGCTTATCGTGCATATGGTTGCTACTGTTCTCATTGTCATTGCTGTGCTTGTGTCGTATGATTATATTGTAGCTACTACTTCTACTAGCATTGTTATTGTTGGAATGATGGCTATTGCCGTTACCATGGGACATGCTTTGCTTACATCGGGTTGCTGATTACGATTATGCTTCTGTGCTCGCTGCAGTGTCTTTCCAGAGTTTCGTCTACCGGTACAGCCTAAACCCTAAACCCCTAAACCCTAAACCCTAAACCCTAAACCCAGCAATTCATCAAGCAGGTGTCAGGCTGTCGGCAGCCAGGGGAGCAGGAGGCTTGCCGGTGCTGAAGGCCTGCGGGATTTTGGCGGTTTAGAAATTTCCCTAAACCCGAAGCCGTAGGGTTTAGGGTTTAGGGTTTAGGGTTGAGGGTTTAGGGTTTAGGGTTTAGGTTTAGGGTTGTAGGGTGAAAACTTGTGATGGCGCATCCCGGGGTGGAGGGGTCACTTGAAGAAGCACTGCTGCCTGAACGTCTTTGCTCGGCTTCAGCGGCTGTTGCCATTGAGAGATCCTTCGTTTCTGGGAACGCAACCTGCATGTGGGCCCCAAGTTAAGTTTCGACCCCACTGCTACCCAAGAAGATGAGCGTGTCGTAGACGTCAGCGGCTCCATGCAGTGGGAGTCAGCATGCCAGAAAACCCGGTGAAAGTAAGCTCGGTCTCTCATGCTTGGGGTCTGATCTTGAGCATGACAGACTCTGTGTTCTGGCGATACCCTTTGGTTCAGCATCGCCAAGGCGAAGCAACGTCAACTCAACTTTGTAGGGAAGACCTTTGGCTTTTGCTGAAGCAATGTTAGCTTTTGCGCTTTTTGCCTAGTGCTTCGGTTCGAATTGCTTGGGGTTGTGGGTAGGTGCCTTCCGCTTTGGAGCACAAGTGGCCTAGTGGAGAACAAGCCCGCTCTTGCTGCTAGAGAGGACTTTGGTGTAGGGCTTGGGCAAAAGCGTGTAAACCCTAAACCCTAAACCCTAAACCCTAAACCCTACACCCCTAAACCCCTAAACCCCTAACCCCTAAACCCCAAAAACAGCAGGAGGATTTACGTAGGCACGTTGGCGACAGGATGCAGGTCGGATTTTCGGGAAGATCTGAGGGCCGCCGCAAGGCTTTGCAGTACATAGGGTTTTCCGGTCGAGGTGAAGAGAGTTTAGGGTTTAGGGTTTAGGGGAGTTGCCAGAGGTTTTGAACCGAACAAGTTGTACATGACATTGGGTTTTGCCGGAGGTTTTGGACCGAAAAAGTTGTACATGGCATTGGGTTTTGGCTCTTAGTGTTGAGGTGGAGTTCAGGCTTCACGGTTTGACGGTCTCGGTAGCGCCTTTTTCTTCGCCAGGGTAGACTACTATCACCTACACCCCCAAAAAAAGAATTACGAAGTCTCGATGCACTAAGCAAAGCTCCAAAGCCTACCCCCGAACTCGGGTGCAGGTAAGTGGCACTGCCGTTGCCAATTCTGTGGCTTGCTATCTCATCCAGGAGTGCACCCTACGAAACCTTCCAACGACCAATCGTGGCACCTCAATAGTGGTAGCAGTAGTAGTAGCAGTAGTCGTCGTCGTCGCCCGTCTTCAGCAATGGTAGAGGCAGCAGTAGTAGTAGAGGCAGGAGCAGGAGTGTAAACCCTAAACCATAAAACCTAAACCCTAAACCCTAAACCCTAAAACCCTAAACCCTAAAAACCCACATCCCTCCGAATGGTACCCCTAAGAAGGACTTGGGCACTTGGGGTTTGGGGTTTGGGGTTTGGGGTTTAGGCTGTAGGGTTTAGATTTTTTGGGTGTCGGGTTCAGGGAGAATAGGTCGCCGACTCCCGAAAACTGAACCCGGCCGAAAGACCCAATCTGCATCGAACCTGCAGGTTTTGAAGTTGTTGTTTTCAAGACTCCGGGTCTGTTCTGGCTGGCTCTGTCGGGACACCACAGTTTTCAGTACATACAAAGTTCGATGACAAGAGTTGGCTTTATTGTTGTCCCTCCAACATTGGTGTTCAAGTCTCGGGCTCGTTATGTTTGGTTAGCTCTTAGAGCTTCAAGGTGGGATCTAAATTTGGGTATCCTTGGATGAAGCCTTTTCTCTTCCTCCTGCTTCAGTGGGGGGGTGGGGGGGGGAGGGCATCAGCTCACATTCATCGAACGCCCTTCCACCGTGGATGCCTGATTCAGCCTTGCAAATTGATCACAATTGTTTGAAGATTCGGACCTCAAGGTGTGGGTCGTAGCTTTGGAAGCGGGCTTTGCCCACCCCACTGTTCAAGCTTGACCTGACGAAGGGACCATAAAAACCCATGAAGCCATAAACCCTAAACCCTTTTCCGAGAACTCTCAGCCATTGCAGAACCTGCAGGATCGGCTCTATCTGATGCAGTGAGTTGGCGCTCAGGCTTCAAGAAAACACACATACTGGTGCAAAATCGGTTGCATTCGACATACGAGCATGTCTATCTCTCTCGCTCTCTCTTTCACACTCTCTCGGTATATATGCCTGTGCTCGATATGCATGTTTACACACATATGTATGCATGTATGCATGTATGTATGTATGTATGTATGTACAGGGTTCCTTAAATCATACA